TGCTGTTTTATTACACATTATTGAGTAAATTGGGTTTTCCTGTGATAGTTATTTGAAATTGGCTCCTGTGGTTTCTGGAGAGTAGAGGGTTGAGGAAGGAAAAATAAATTACCAGGGTAGTGTTTGGGGCTAGCTAGTTTTTCACAGTGCTCTGTTCTTATTTTCACTCCATTCTTTGCTGTTCTCAGCTACTTTTTACAATTCTTACATGTATATTAGACCTAGGAATTATACTACTCTCCATTTTTTATTTGAAATTTTTATTGAGATAATTGTAAATTCAAATGCAGTTGTAAGAAATAATGCAGAGATCCCCTATACACTTTCCTCAGTTCCCTCCATTGGTAACATTTTGCAAAACTGTATTAACATTGATAAAAGCCACCCATCACATTCAGATTTCCGTTTTACTCGGACTCATTTATGTGTGTGTGTATTGTTTTATACTTTATCACATGAAGTTATGTCTATACCATGACAGTTAAGACACTGAACAGTTCTAGCACCACAAGAATCCTTTCTGTTGCCCTTTTACAACCACATCCACTTCCCTTCCCAACCTTGGCAAGCAACCACTAATCTTTTCTCCATTTCTAAAATTTTGTCATTTCAAAAATATTTTTTAGGTGGAATCATACAGTATGTAACCTTGTGAAATAGATTGGCTTATTTCACTCAGCAGAATTCCCCAGAGATTCATACAAGTTGTTTTATAAGTAGTTCCTCTTTTTTCTATTGCTGAATAATATTCCATGGTATGTATTTACCATGTTTAACCCATTCATTGGTTGAAGGTCTAAGCTGTTTCCAGTTTGGGGCTATTGTAAATAAAGCTGCTGTGAACATTTGTGTATATTTTTTCATGTGAACATATGTTTTTATTTCTCTGGGATAAGTGCCTAAGAGTGTACTTGTTGGGTTGTATGGTAATCGCGTGTTTAGTTTTATAGGAAACCACTCATTGTTTTTCAGAGTGATTGTATCATTTTACTTTCCTAACAGCAGTGTATGAGTGATGAGGCTTCTTTACATCATCACTAGCATTTGGTATTATCACTGTTATTTTAGCCATTCTGTTAACATGTGTAGTGATAGTTCATTGTTTTCATTTGATTTTTCCTGGTACCTAATGATGTCAGACTTCTTTTTATAAACTTATTTGTCATTTATATATTCTATTTGGTGATATGTCTGTCTTTTACCCATTTTCTAATTGAATTGTGTTTTCATTCATTGTTTAGTTTCGAATGTTTTTTATAAATTCTAGATACTAGTCCTTTGTTGGATATGTGGTTTGCACATATTTTCTCCCAGTCTGTAGCTTGTCTTTTCATTATCTTCACATGGACTTTAAGAGCAAAAATGTTTAACTTTGCTAAGATGCATTTTATAAATTTTTCCTTTTTTTGGATTGTGTTTGTTTTGTTTTGTTTTGTTTTAGGCGAGGCAACCCTTGGTTGACCTCACAGATTGCAAGGACCTTGTTAGCTTACAATCCCTTATTTTTTACTTACTTTCTTACTATTTATTTATTTACTTTATTTTATTTTTTACACTTACCGCACCTGGTCTTCCTAGGTGGTCTCCCATCCAAGTACTAACCAGGCCCGACTCTGCTTAGCTTCTGAGATCAGACGGGATCAGAAGGGTGGCATGGCTGTAGACTGGATTGTGCTTTTAGTATCAAGTCTAAGCACTCTTGGCCTAGTCTTAGATCCCAAAGATTTTCTCCTGTATATCTTTTTAATCAGTTTTGTAGTTTTATGTTTTGTATTTATGTGTAATCCATTTGAGTCAATTCTTACATAAGGTGTGAAGTTTAGGTCAAGGTTTATTTATTTATTTTTTTGCCTATGGATGTCCAGTTGTACCAGCACCCTTTGTTGAAAAGGCCATTTCCACCATTGAGTTACTTTTGCACTTTTGTCTCACATTAGTTAAGCATTTGTATGAGTCTATTTCTACGTTCTCTGTGCAGTTTCACTGATCTATGCATCTTTCCTCCACTAATAGCACACTGCCTTCATAATGTAGCTTATTTACTGAACACTTAACTGTGTGCTTTGTTGTACAGACACTGCTACAGATCTTTGTGAGCAAAACAAAGATTGCTGTTTTGCGTGCGCCTTCCATTCTTGTGGAATAAGAAAGATGATAAGCAAAAAATATAATATAGTAAATTTGAAGGTTAAATGACGCCAGAAAAAGTAGAATAGTGTAAGTGGAATCTGGGGAGATGTAGATAGCAGTTTGTAGTAAGAGAAAGAAGTTTCCTTGAAATGATTGAGAAGAGACTTGAAAAGGGTGGAGGAGTGAGCCAAGCAGATATCTGAAAGAAGAATGTTCTAGGGAGAATGAATAACCAGTGCCTGCCATGTTTGCAAGGAGGCCCGCATAGTTGGAATGGAGTAGACTGTAGGGATAGAAAAGTAGCAGCTTAGTTCAGAGAGAAATGGAGAGCTGCTCATCATAGGGCTTCATATCAGTTATCTCTTGTTAAAGCAACAAGGAAAAGCTCATACTGAGCTCAGCTTATCATTAAACTATAGACTTGTAACTAAATCTTGTTTTAAGCTATGAGTTTGGGGACTAAAAATACACAGCCAACGTTTCCCCTTCCCCCCCAAATAACGTATGGTAAACAACTTTTTTTAAAAGATAGAGTTCTGTGAATTTAAATGTATGTATAGATGTATGTCATGCCAGCACAATTAGTTTATAGAACGTTTCCATCATCCACCAAATGCCCTCCTTACTGTTTCTTTGTAGTCAACCCCTATCCTCAACTCTAATTCCTGCCAACTACAATTTTCTGTCCAAGTAGTTTTGCCTTTGCAGTAATTTTGTATTAATGAACTTAAACAATTCATAGCCATTTGAGACTAGCTCCTTTTACTCAGCATAATATAATGCCTTTGAGATTCATCCATGTTGTTGCATGTATCAATAATCAGTTCCTTTTTATTACTGGGTAGATTCTATTATATGGTTATACACTAGTTTATTCTCTTCAAGATGACGTGTTTCCACTTTTGGGCAGTTATGAATACAGCCACTATAAACATGCACATGCAGGTTTTTGTGTGAAGAAGAATTTTCATTTCTCTAGGTTTAATACTTGGGAATAGAATTGCTGCATCATATGGAAAGCGTATGTTTGACTTTATAAGACACTGCTGAACTGTTTTCCAGAGTGGTTGTAACATTTTGCATTCCCACCAGCAGCGTATGAGAGTTCCAGTTGCTCCAAATCCTCACCAAAACTTATATTCTTAGGGTTGTTTTTTCTTTTTTTGGCCATTTGCATAGATATGTACTATCATTTCATTTAGTTTTAATTTGCGTTTTCCTGATCGTTAATATGATATTGAGCATTTTTTAATGTGCTCATTTACTATCTATGTATCTTTTTTGGTGAAGTGCCTATTTAAATCTTGCGCCCATTTTTTAAAAAATTCAGTTTTCTTAATGTTGAATTTTGAGAGTTCTTTATGTATTCTAAAGTCCTTTATCTATCATGTGATTTGCAAATATTTTCTCCCAGTCTATAGCTTGATTTTCTTTCTCTTAACATTGTCTTTCACAGAACAAATGTTTTTAATTCATATGAAGTTGTTTGTCAATACTTTTATGGGCTACACTTTCAGTATCTTGGTTAAGAACTGTTTGCCTAACAAAAGGTCACAAGAATTTATCTTCTTCTTTCTTTCCTTTTTTTTTTTTAAAGCCTACAGCACCTGGTATTCCTGGGTGGTCTCCCATCCAAGTACTAACCAGCCCTGACTCTGCTTAGCTTCCAAGATCAGACGAGATTGGGCGCATTCAGGGTGGCATGGCCGTAGACTTACTTTTTCTTTTAAAAATTTTATAGTTTTATGTTTTACATGTGATACATGATCCAGCTTGAGTTCATTTTTATATAAGGTGGGAAGTATAAGTTGTGAGTAATTTTTTTACATATGGATGTCCAGTTGTTCCAGTATCGTTTGTTGATAAAACTGTCTTTTCTCCATTGAGTTGCTTTTTCACCGTTGTCAAAAAATCAGTTAGCCATATGTGTGTAGGTGTATTTCTGAATTCTCTATTCTATTGATCTGTTTGTCCTTTTGACAATACGACACTGTCTTGATTTTATATCTTTATAGTAAGTCTTAAAATCACGTAGCATGAGTCCTCCAACTTTGTTCTTATTTAATTTGTTTTGGCTTTTCTGGTTCTTTTGCCTTTTCATGTACATTATAGAATCTGCTTGTCTATATCTACATAAAACTTTGATGGCATTTGATTGGAATTACCTTAAACCTAAAAATCATTTCAGGAAGAATTGACATCTTAACTATTTTGAATCTTCCAATCCATAAACATAGTAGGGCATCTTTCATTTTTTTTCATCGATGTTTTATAGTTTTCAGCATACAGATCTTGCACGTATTTTGTTAGACTTATTTGTAAATGTTTGATTATTTTGGAACGATTAAAAGTAGTATAAGTAGTTAAATGTTTTCAATTGTTGTTAGTATATAGATACTGAATTTTTGTATGTTAACCTTATACCCTGCCACCTTGATAAATGTACTTAGTAGTACTAGGATACAGCCAGCCTATTTTTAAGAAATTGTAAACTGGGAATAGTTTTACAAATTCATTTTTGCTGTTTTAGAAGAAATGTCAAATCTTAAATCTTGAATGAGGTGAAATTTTCTTTTCCTCACTTTTCTTTTAGCAGTATACCTACTTAAGTAGCTTTACTGGTAGTTAAATGTATGGCCTGATGATGGAGGCCTCAACCAAAAACCCTAATTTTAAAGAGAGAGACTACTTTTTCCCTCTTTTTGTAATTAAACAATAGTAATACTAGCTAGTTTTATGACATTTTATTTATAATGATAAAATCATGAATTTTAACAAGAATATGATCAGGATAGTTAATTTTATAACTGTTTCTCAAATAGCATTATTTTAGTTTTGAATAATTGTTCTGTTTCTCTTTTTCTCCTCAGGTATTGGAAGAGTTGCTGCTACATCTTTAGGAAATTTAACCAGCCATGGTTCTGAAGATTTACCCCTTCCTCCTGGCTGGTCTGTGGACTGGACAATGAGAGGGAGAAAATATTATATAGATCACAACACAAATACAACTCATTGGAGCCATCCTCTTGAGCGAGAAGGACTTCCTCCAGGATGGGAACGAGTTGAGTCATCAGAATTTGGAACCTATTATGTAGACCACACAAATAAGAAGGCTCAATATCGGCATCCCTGTGCTCCTAGGTATAGACTTTTTTTCAACTTTTTGTTTTGAGATTGTCCGATGTTAGATTTTGAGCTCATATTTTCATCAGAGAGAAAGGCATCCTGAAGTTTGATATTTGAGAGCTGTATTTTTCAAAATTTATGATACTTTTCTCTGGACTTATATTTAGTAATGGATCACTTTATAATTTAAAAAAAAAATCTCTCTTTAAACAACCTCAAAAACAGAGTAGTATTCTTATGATCAGTTTTTGCTTTAATGTGCCAGGATGTTTCCGTTATAGATACCTAAATATTGAAATAAATAAAACACCTGTCTCTTTACATTTAAATTCCTATAAGTAACATAGACCTACCTCCTAAAATGTCAAAATATACTTTCGAATTGTAACATCTTGGTGTTTTTATTCAATTTCAGACATTTTATGTTCTATTTCTTACTGTTGCCAGGCAAGAAAGTAAAAATTGGAACTGCACAAAACATCCCAGATCTGTTTAATAAACGTAGCTAGTGATCCTTTGAGTTACTTTGATTGATGCTGGGCTTATCAATAGATCTCACTTACGGCCAGACTTCTAGCCCCCTGGATACTGTAGCTAATTGTCACATGTGGCTATTGAGCACTTGAAATGTGATTAATCCAAATTGAGATGCGCTGTAAATGTGAAATAAACACTGGATTTCAAAGTTCATAAAAAATCTAGTAGTTTAGTAATGAAGTTGCAAATGTTTACAGCTAACTACATTTGAGGTTTCAAGAACTGAACCATAAGATTAAAAATGGATAGAATATTATCAGCATGTTAATTGATCTTTATTATCATCTAACATAATACAAATCTTTGGTTATAGTAGACATTGGCATTTTTAATCATTAAAATCATTATAAAAATACATTATAATCTCACCTATTGTGTTGTTTTAATCATTTTATATATTTGGATTAATTCAACTTTGAAAAGCAGTTTTTTTCCAGTGATTCCATTTAGTGACAGTGTTTATTGAAAAATTGAGGTTGTCATCCCTGCAAAAGAACCAAACCAACTGCTCTGCCTATGGTGGGCTCTGGCCCCTTCACCTATTCTGTACCATCTCAGGCAAGCCAATGCCTCCTTGGCCTCCATTTTCAGGACTGTGACATGAAGATAATTCAGAATTCCCCTCCCCATCAAGTCATGATCCCCACTCCAGAACAAGAATGAGTCTCACTTATTACTGCTGGGTCCCCAGCACCCAACACAGAGTTGGGCACATAGTGAGAACATAGCAGATGTTTTTCGAATGAATGAATGATGGGGGTAAAATGTGTCTACAGAGGTGGCAGAAGACTTTGTAGTCTAGACAACCAGATTTGAGAGTATGTTGAGCTTACTTTTCTGTTCATCATCATTAACCCTACATTATTACAGAATTTTTATAGTTTACAAAGCATTTTCATAATTTGTTTTCTCAGCAAATCTGTAGACATTAAACGAGAAAATAAACACCTTCTTTAAATTCATATAGTTAGGTAGTATTAATATCTGTTTTGATTTTCTGTATTATGTTGATCCATATACAGAACTCTTGATTTATATTAGCTCATTTAATCCTGAGAACAGTCATCTTTGGTATGAATTTATTCCATTTTACAAATAAGGTGGCTGAGGCTTAGAGAAGTAAAGCAGTTTTGCCTACATTCATACAATTTCTAAGTGGCCAAACTGAGGTTAAAACCCCCCAGGCATAATCTTCAAAACCTCAGTTTCTCCCTACCCCTAATTGTGCTATCAAGGAATATTTTACTTTGCACCTACTTATTATGAAAGAAGAATTGAAGATAAAATTCAATGCCATTTGCACTTTGATTTTTAAATCATTAACCACAGTCTAATACTTATTTTAATTCCAGTTTAGTATTGCAATGACCTTTTATGATACACACAGAAATCTTAATGTGGAAGGCAGGCCCTTCCTGTTTTGCTTCCAAGACTGGAATAGACCATTTTGGCCTCCTAGAATTCAGTCTTTAGCCTTCAGGTGGTTCAGTGCTCTCCTTACCATTTTCCCATATAACGGCCCTTTCCTGCTTTGCTATTCTCTCCCTCCCCCACGCCCCAACAGATACACGCTATTAGAGTTAATTAGAGCATGGTTTTTTGTTTTTTTTTAAGTCTGGTTTAAAATAGGTTCTGATCACTTCTAATCACATATACTCTCTTAAGGCGGTAAAAACAAAAAGGAAATACTACAATTAAAATTAATGTGGATATTTCAAGCACAATCATTCCTACTGTATTACATATTCTAAACCCCCTTTTCAGCCTTAAGGAGGAAGAAAATATCCATTGTCATTTTGAGAGAAACTCAATCTTTCCAACATAAATTTACAAGTAATTGCTAGTAAATACTAGAATTTGTGGTTCTAGTTTTAAGCCTCTGTATAAAGGTTACAACTTAGCTCCAACTTTTTTATAGCCTCCTTTGAAGTCATCCTTGAAAAGAATAAATACCAGCCAGAAGAAATCTCTTAAAAATATGTAAAGATTTAGCTTAAGTTTATATTCATCACTAGTGACCTACTAATTTCCAAGAGAAAGTAGATTTTAATTCCCCTACAGTATGATTTAAAAAATAGAAGCTAGACCTTTATGGTTTTTTAGGTGGTAGAAGGAATTAAGGTTGGAAAATGCTTAAATATTATTTGTTCTTTATAATTTCTTGTTTAGATTTAGGGCCTTTATCCTAATGAATGTTGGTTCTTTCTTCTTAGTGTACCTCGGTATGATCAACCTCCTCCTGTCACATACCAGCCACAGCAAGCTGAGAGAAATCAGTCCCTTCTGGTACCTGCAAATCCGTATCATACTGCAGAAATTCCTGACTGGCTTCAGGTTTATGCTCGAGCTCCTGTGAAGTAAGTGAATTTACAGTACAAATTTTAGTTGAGTGTTGAGTGGAAAACTGAATGGAGTCTCTGGGCTGCTTCATCCATCCAGCACCATGTTTTTCTCTTAATAATATTGGGTTTCTAAAAAATATATATATTTTTCTAAATAATACTTTATTTGAAGAAAGGAAATCATAGCTTTTAAAGTTTGAAAATCATTGATTAGAAATATATTCTGTAAACATTTATTGAATCTTTACTTCGTGTGCAGACATGTAACTATATTAGGGATACAATAAGAAGCTTACATTCTCATAGGGGGAGAATGAGTTGTAAATCAATGATACAACGCCTTGTGATAAAAGTGAGGACCTAGGTTCAGGATGAAACAAGGCAGGACAGAACGGTGTTGAGGAAATTGTACAGGTATTATCTGCAAGTTCTGGGATAAGATGACCTATATTTACTGATACTTTTTAGCTGTGTAACCCTGGGCAGGTTGTTTAACTTAGTTTTGTCTTCTGTAAATTGGGGGTTATAATAATACCTACTCTTAAGGTTATTAAGAATTCAATAAAATAATGCATCTAAAGTATTTATCACAGTGCTTTGCATATTGACAGAGCTTAGTACATGATTATTGTTATTATTGGGGATGGAAGTATAGAATAGTGGTTAAGACCGTTCAGGAAGGAAACAGAGTGTGATCTTTGGCTCTGTCACCTACCTACTGAATAACTTTGTGCAAGTTACTGAATTTAGACATTGTGTTTTTCCTCTCTTGAAACATGGAGATAATAATCTTACCTGCCTTTCTTGGTGTGATGAGACTTAAAAGTGATCATGCATTTTAAAGCATATGGCGCTGTCGCTGCCATGTATAAGCCCTTAGTAATGGTTTCTTATTATAACGAGAGCAAGACAAGCTGCACCTGAGAGGAAAATACATGCAATAGTTTTTAACCCATTTCCCTCAATAATACAGGCCGGCGGTACTTGTGGCTGCAGCATTTTACCTCACTATAACTCACGGATTATAGTCCTAACCTTATTCCCAGAGTATGCCACAAAATATCTCACTTTTATACTCACTCTAGTATATCGATAATCCTCGGAAACAAATGACATCGTTCTATTTATAGCATTGTTTTTAGTAGTGGTATTCCCATTTACAAAGCAGTAATTCTCGACCTCGCTGAAAATGTCAAATCCTAGAAAATGTAGCATTCCTATGCATGATGTTCACATCGTTACTTCGTTCTTGAATAGTTGTTAGCTGAAGATTCATTTAATGAATCCGATTTATGTATACATTTCTGTTACATTAGGATTGGAGACAAGTTCTGTTTAGAAATAACTCCAAGAATAGTTTTTATTTTTATTTTCACACTGAAAACTTGTCTCATTTGCTTCAGCCTCGAAGAGCGTGTGTTTATGTAAAATTGATGCTGGCAATGCGCTGCATTTTTTTTTCTAAATGGGAAAAGGGTTAAAGATGGTTATGAGTTTGCCAGTCCCCCAGAGCCCCAGAGCACTGTGGTGTGGATTCTATTTTATTCCTGTGGCTTGGTGATCTGCAGTGTCCTTGACCTAGCTCTGCATGTAGGTGGCAAGAAAGAGTGGGCATACTTTTATAGGGGGCAGGTATAGGGGACTGGAGCTGAGAAAAGCAGCACTTTTGGCTTCTAAGACAGCATCCACTGGGGTATGAACACATTTTTTGGTAGCATTACAGAGTTGCTGTTGGCATAGGTGGGTTATTTGTAAGTAGTGTTTGAATAGAATACTGCCCTAGGAAAAACAGCAGAAGAGATGCTATAAGCATAGGCTACTGGAGTGGTTTACAGCTTATTTTCTGAATGCTTTACCTGTATATTTAGAGCATAGTAGCTAAAAGTTAAACTTGGAGAAGCAGATTATTTGGCTAGTTAAGGGAAGAATGGAAATTATTTTTTTTTTTTTTTAAAGAAAAGCAGGCATATTGGAATGTATTATAGGCAAAAGAGAAGTAACTGTATAGAAACAGCAGGGGCAAGAATTTGGAATGGGAATTGGTGCATTGCATACTTCTCATCTGTGGTCTTTCTTATAGTGCTTTTTCTTCCCAAAGGATTTTTTCTAATTATTCTGGTTTTGTTGCTTCTATCATCATTCTGTTCTTGATGCTAAATGCTGTGATTGGGAAGTGAGAAAATTATCTGTAGCTTTTTCTCTTCCTTTTTTAAAAAACTTGAATGCTTATACAGAAGATTTGTTTTAAAAACTAGTGTGATATTTGCCAATTTATTCTTCTGTTTTTCTTTACTAGAGTGTACACAGGTGATAAATGAGCTTTAACATTCTTCTAGTTTACCCCCTGGCATAAATTTAAGCATCTTGAGTCAGTAGACATCGCTGAAATGCTCCTTAGCTGTGGAATTTAGACTCTGGAAGATTAAGATATTTTTGTTAGGAATTATGATTTTGTTTCAAGCAATAAGTAAAATCTTAAGCTACATGAATGGCTTAACATGAGGTTCTAGAATATACCTTACAGCTGTTTCTTTGTGGAGTCTAATTGAGTATATTTCTTGCAGTATTTCCCCAATTTATGTTGGCAAGTGGTTGCAGTTTCCCACTGAAGAGAATATAAAGCTATCAAGTATAGCTATTAGTATATTTGCAGCACTCATTCAGTAATTAAATGAGTAAAATTGAGATCCAACAAAATAGGTTTACCTTATAGTTTTGCGTATTGTGCTCCTGATATTTCTGGTACATATACCGAAATTATACAGAAATGTACATCAGTGTGCCAAGCAGAGTATGTGGCCCATACTGGCTGCTCAGTATTTGTTTACTGTTTCCTTTTCTTAAAAACCTTTTAAAATTTATATTAGACAAGTGAGCCTTTTGGAATAAGACGATAAATGAATTATCAAACAAAGGACCTTTGGTTAAGATAAATAATCATTAAAAATAAATTTACTAGAATTTATAATCAAAGCTTCTAACTATGTCTTCTCTGCAATAGGATTTGAGAAGAATAACTTCAATATCATATAGATGTATACCTTGCTCTAGTTCAGGTACTATGTCTAGTCTTAGTAGATAGTAACATTCAAAACTATTACTTTGAAGCATCTTGGTCCATAGTTCTCTGCCTTTTTGATCTTTTAGTTACTAAACAATTTTGCAACAGATACATAGCCTTAGTTTTTTCAGCTGCAAAATGAGAAAATTGGATTAGAGTGCTGTCTTCAGGTGTCTTTCAGTTCAAAGAGTAAATTACTGCTTTAGTAGTTTGTGGCATACTCAGTATGTGATCTCTCTACCATTGAAGAAGGCCTTCTCAGATACATCTATGATTTTATATGGGTCTTTTCCCACATTGTGGAGTCTTCTACACTCCACTTTTTCTCATTTTGAAAAGAGCTTATTCTTTCCTTTCTGCTTTTTTTTTAATACTGTATACCCAGCCTCAGAAAAGCTCAACCCATGAATGATGGTTCCTCTTCATTCCTCTTCCTGTTTAGTTCCTTGTTTGCTGTAGGGAACAGCATTCCTCAAAAAGCTCTATCAACACTAATAACACAAATGACCTTGCCCATTTTTATGTATTGTTTGCAGGTATGATGCGGTCTAAAGTATTAAGTTCCTGACAGTTAACTTTGGATGTACTTATGAATAGCATACAATGTATCTTCCGAAATTATAGAACCACAGTGGTTTGAAATCTTTTTTTATTGTTGTCTAGAGTTAATATTAGAATAATTGATGCTTAAAAGAAATGGGTATTTTTTTAACTTAAATTGAAAGTAATATTAGCAGTTTTCTCCTTTCCCTAAAAAATAATATATTTAAACAGCACTTAATAACTCAATCATTTTTAATTATAACTTGATATTTATAAAAATAGACCAATTTATTGCTATAAATACATATTTATATGTGTGTTCTGAACATTCGTATGATTGTGTTTTAAAACAGATATGACCACATTCTGAAGTGGGAACTCTTCCAGCTAGCTGACCTGGATACATACCAGGGAATGCTGAAGTTGCTTTTCATGAAAGAACTGGAACAGATTGTCAAAATGTATGAAGCATACAGACAGGCTCTTCTCACAGAGTTGGAAAACCGCAAGCAGAGGCAACAGTGGTATGCCCAGCAACATGGCAAGAATTTTTAATTTTTAAAAATAAAATTTAAGTTTTATAAGGGCTTAAAAATATTTTCACAGAAAAAGGCCGCAAACAAGTTCTTTGGTTAATAAAGGCAGCTTACTTTTTGGAAATAATAAAATTCTAATTTTACATGTATTTTGTTATCAAAAATACTCTTATTGAGCAAAAAAAAATGAGTATCATTTTAAGAGCCATCATGGCAAACACTTTTAGATGCTGCATGTTAGGAACTGCTTTGAATATTCTCAGTGGAGACAAATGCAGCAATTTCCTATTTAATAACCAGATATTAAAATAGGAAATGATCACTTGGTAAACTCTTACAATAGCAGTACCTTTCTTTAAAAAACAGAATGAGAGATAACCTATGCAGTATTTAAGAAAAGATGTTTACTGCTTTAGTGTGGAACATTGTCTGGAATCAGATGGTTTAAATTTTTACTATTGTGTATAGTTCAAAACATAAAATAAGATTTGGGACCTTATTTGTGATAATTTTTTATATATAATTTATGGGGTTCCCTTCTCCCCCAAAATGTAAAGAACCCTTTAAAATGTGTTGAGAAAGTATTTTATGGTATGAAAGGGTGAAAGGCCTGTAATCTTTCAAGAATAAATTTAGGCATAAGGCACAGCACTCAAAGTTGCTAACCTTACACCCTTACATTCAGCCAGAGCTCTTACAGCATGTACGATCATGGCTCTATTGAGACAGTAGAGGGTTCATGACAGCATAGCATGCTGCCGTCCTAACAAACTGGGTTGAGCTGCCAAAAATGACAATCAGGGATTCATTAAGACATCTTGCCAATAAATTGATTTTACATATCTTTTATCGTATAGGAGTTTGTCCCAGAATTGTAAAACCCAGTATTTCCATCCCAATTTTTTTCCTTTTGGTTTTATGGTTATTAAGACATTGTTCATAATTGGTATAGTACATTTGATTGCAGACAAATCTTTGGCATTTCTAGCCTATAAATCTCTAGAATTCTGTGAACTTCAACATTAGTTGAAGTAGCTCTTTAGTTATATTTACATGTCTTGTAAATATGTAAATACACTTTTAGTTTAGGTAATCTTCCAGAATACAAAGCACTCCCAGTTAGATAACGGCGAATTTGCATTGTTGATAAAATGTTGGAAATCTTAAATGTTTGATTTTATACAATAAGCTTATTAAATATATTTTTGTGGAAACTAAATGTGTCGTGTTTGAGTCCATGTTTTATACATAGTGCTATCAATACTCTATTTTTCCATTCAGAAGATACATAGGCAAAGGAAGCAGTATAATAAAAGGGGTACTGAAAAATGAAAATAAGCTAGTAGAATTTTATCAGAGAGGAAAGTTATATGATCAAACTTTTCTAAGATTTAAGGTTTACATATTTTATGAACTCATATATTCTTCTATCTTAATTATTCTTTTCTGTTACTAGTTATTTTATATGACTGTAAGGTATAGCTATTTCTAAGAAAGTTAGAAATAACTGTTTTAGAGCTCCCAAACAAGAAGCATTACTTTTCTTTTTTCATTACCACACTTTTTTTTCTCTTAAAGGTATGCTCAGTGAAATTCCACTTGAGATTTTAGTAATTAGAAATACAATATAGATTCACTGGTTTAAGATGACTGGAAGGTACCTAGAAAGGATTAACATACATTTTTTAAAATGGAAACCAAAATTTGTAATGGGGGTGGGCATTAAAGAAAATGCATTTTGAATTAAAAAAAAAAATAACCTTTATCACTTATATATCAATATCTCCCAAACAGTTACAAATTCAGTAAGCATTTGTCTTTAATCATAGGAACCAGAGTAAACTTTTAATAGTTTACATGTTAAAAGAATAAACCTATGAATGATACATTTCTTTGTGTACCAAATGAGAAAATATACAATGCGATGAAACTCAAATACATATACAAAGTGATTTTTTTGTGCATTTTTGATTGAGGTTTATATTCTATATTAAATCATAATATAAAAGAAGCAATATATAGTTTTTGATAAAGCAACTGAAAAACTCTTGACTATCTTTAAAAATAAGAGCTCATGGTATATGTGAGATGATATAGATTGAATCAAGCCTGTTGAGTTATGATGCTATACTTTAACAAACAACTGTGAAATAATTTTAAAATTCTTCTGTAGAAATTAAATGAGCATATCCAACATGGAGTAATATTACTACATGGTTTAATTATAACCCAGTAGTAGAATTTAGTAAATTCAAGCAGAACACATGTACTGTCATCATAAATAGACAAATACTTTAAATTATAACAGCATATTTGAAGGACAAAGTCAGGAAACTGTACATGTTAACAAAATGATATAACCATGCATACACATACATCTTAAACACCGAAGTAAAAGAACTAAACCCTTTAGCAGTCTTCAGAAGTGTTTGGTATTTTACTCTGTTCTGATGGAAGCACTTTGAATGTTTGCATGGAGACATAAAACAATATTTAACTGACGGTCATGCACCTGTATTTTTTAAAATCTGGATTAAATTTTCTTCTTTTCTGATTGTTCAGTAGATTCTGACTTTGGTGCAGGAAAAGCTTGATGATACAGATGTCTGTGGGTTGCTGCTGCACTGTAAAGCTTGTATAAAGCCTAGAAATGCAAGAATCCAGATTATGAAACATTTTACTAAACACGTGTAAAATTTTTCCTTTTAGTATAATTAGTTTATAGTATGATATAAAATTTAGCATGCTAAATTTGGAATCTATATCATTATATAGCATATAAATGAAGAACTGACATCTTAGAACTCAAAAATATTTTCAACTTTCCAGTGTGTATTACTACTTTTGTGGATTGATCTTTGTGGTAGACATTTTATTCTCAGACTACATTTCCTTTTACCTTGCACACCTCTTGGAGCAGAGCTTCCTAACCACTAAGCTCCAGGACTGTGTTGAGAACACATATTGTGAATATTACCAGTTTTAAAGGAATTACAGGAGCTCGTAACTTTTGACACCAATAGCTACTTTATTATACATAGTTAGACTACTTGTTATCAGGTCTTCATAGGTTTTTCAGAATGAGACCACTTTTATTCTCCATTATTTCCTGATATGGTCATGCAAATGAGTACATATGTTGTCCCGTCACCCTGCCACACTGGGGATCCCTCACTTAAATGTTCTCTTACCTTATTTCCATTAATTAGTTCATATCTTGCAAAACCTTATTCAGAAACATTACCTCAGAAAGCCTTTCCTCATTAAAACTCCCTCGTTCTTTGTGTCTGAATCATAGAAATTTTTACATACTGCTTTGTATTAGTGTTCATAAATATTTTCATGTTCTTTTTTCCTCCCTTAGCTAATGTCTAAGATTCATTCCCTTCTCTGACGTTCACAAAATGAACACTTAGTTAAGACCAACTTAGGTAATTCTGGAGTCTGTAAAAAGTCTCAATATTTTTAAAAGCTGGATATTCTTTAAATAGTAATTGATTCTCAGGAAATACCATAAATTTTCATCTTTTTGAGTCCATATGGCTCTCTTGATTTTCTTAAGTTTGGTACCACCATTTCTATGAATGCATATTGGTGTAACATGGTATTATCTTAGTTCTATTTATATTCTGATTCTAACATTCAGTTTAACACTGTTCTTTTAAAATCTTCGATATTTTCTAATGTTTGATTTGCAAAGTTGAAATTTGTTTTTACTTTAGTGAATTTGTTTTACTGAATTTTACATAAAGCAATTCCTTATTAACTTGTAAATATTAAATGTATCATAGTATTCTATTAGAAGACATAATCCAGTTACATGTAACAGCAGACACTGAAGAAAAAATTATGTTCTTCAAGATCAGTTCTGCTTCCTGAGGACAATGGCCTAAATTACCTCCAGAGATAATTTTTCTTATGTAACAAATGCTTCCTTCCTGGAAGCTCAGATTGTTTCCTCAGATACAGAGATCCGCACATGTGGAAAGTGATAGAATGGTAAGAGAAACGAATACCAATTTACAGGTCATGTCTGAAGCATGCCCAGAAAGTTACACTGCATACTGGACTGGATCCCCTAAGTGTAAAGGTAACTGTTACTCAAAAGCCCAAGTTAAAAACAACTTTGAAAGGTTTTAATGTCATTTAAATACTCTCCAGTAGTTATGTTTTCACAAGGTTTATAACTACTTGTTTCACTCTTCAGTAGAGCAAAATGCACAATGTTAGAGCTTAAGAATTTTGAATTTTTCTACACATTTAGGAAACAATAGATAAAATATTCATGATATTCAGTTCTTGTGTTTCATATTCAGATCAAATCACATGATGTCTGGAATAAAATATTTTAAAATCATTAAAAATTCACAATTAAAATCGTAAATGCTAGAAGAGGACAGGCACAATAGTCACTAAAGATTTTCTAATCTACATTTATACAACCTTTATTGGCTGGTCGGCTTATAAAATAAGGATATAATGTTTATAAATAAGAATATAATGTTTATGAATGTTTATAAATATAATGTTTATAAAATAAGAATATAATGTTTATAAATAGAATTCTTAATTTAAAAAATTTAACTTACCTCATTTGTACTTCCCTGTGGCAAAGGCAATTTAAAAGAGAGAAAAGAAATGTATATATCCTGCTTCAGTAATGGCATTATGATATTCAGCTTTGTTTACAATATTAATTTGTGCGCATTTAAGAACCAGTACTCCTATAGATATTTTTTCTGTTTAGATTACATATTTTATATGAACCTTTTGAAGAGCCCAACTATATATCCCTTATAGGTTTCAGCATCATATTCTAGGAGAGCTTTGGGATTTACCTCAAGTAACCCTCCTTAAATCTTTTGAGGTTGAGGGGCTATTTGAGACAGTAGCTCAAAGGATCCAATTTTTAATTCATTTGTTTCCTATAGTGCTACCATTAGTTTATCTCAACTAGATTTTTCAAAGGCACATGGTAAATCGATTTACCATTACAATTATGTTTTAAAGAGATTTGTAGCTATTATTTGATACCTCAGACCATAATGTTCAAAAGTCTTAACTCCAAAATTTTGTGAAGAATCTCAACTTTAACTTCACGAAATTCCCCTAAATTTTCATAAGGTAACTGAAGACACTTCCAGAATGACATAGGTAATTATCGGTCTAGGTGTGTTTCTACTTGTCTCCCCTGTCCATAATCAATTATTTGAACAGTGGACCATGGTGACCCTGACTCCCTAGGTTATGGTTAATTGGACCATAAAGTACAGCTGACTCATGTGCAGCTGATCTAGAAACTGACCTGGACTCATGGCCTGATGTAAATGTCTAGTTCAAATAGAGATAATCTGAAGCAATCAGATACTGCTTTTAGGAGTTTATACTAAAAGAGACAATGATACAACGACTTATGATACCAGTTTGTATATGCTACCCCAAACCAATGCTAGTCAGATGATAAGTATTAAGTCAGGTTAACATATAATCGAGTTACAATCAGCTAAATAAAAACCGTTGTTTCTTACACTTAACGGCTTTAACTTTTAGGATAAGAAAAAGTAAAAACACTGCCTAATCCATGTATTTTGAAAAATATTGAAATGTTAACTGGAAAAGAGTTGTGCAGGACTTCATGTACTGTTTTACAGTTAGTTGTATCTGGCCATCTTGACGGATTCTGAAGTTCTTGAAAACTGGGCCCCAAATATGTTCATTTGTATATTTCTAAACATCTACATAGTGTCTGGTACATAGATGGCATTCAAATGTGTGCTGAATTTAGTTGGAGAGAATTAAAAGTGTTCCTACCTGGTCCCACAAGGCTGCAGCCACCTGGTCTATTACAGCTCCCAGCTCTCGATATTCTCCGGAGTACCGGATATATGCCCAGGTGCACAGGGTGATAAGGGTCAGTCCCATTATCATATTACATAGGCTAGCTATGATGTCCAAACCAATGAATCCTGTCACACCAGCAATCACATATGTGATAAAGATGACCACAAACAGTGTGGCTGGAGTACGAGCTGCATGGAAGATATTTTTGCTATCGTTGTGCTTGATATACTGGATGTAAAGTTCATCTATTTCACTCTCCAACTGCTGCAGGTAACGCCGGCTAAATTCCTCCCCACCCATCTTCTTCACCCCTCGGAATAGCTTCACAGATTCTTCCTTAAGCTCCAGATGTTTGGTTTGAAGGTCATTAGGGGCCAG